GCGGCGGCAGCTGACGTTCCGGGAGAAGTCTCGGATCATCCAGGAGGTGGAAGAGAACCCGGACCTGCGCAAGGGCGAGATCGCGCGGCGCTTTAATATCCCGCCGTCTACGCTGAGTACCATTCTGAAGAACAAGCGCGCCATCCTGGCGTCGGAGCGCAAGTACGGGGTGGCCTCCACCTGCCGTAAGACTAACAAGCTATCGCCCTACGACAAGCTTGAGGGGCTGCTCATCGCCTGGTTCCAGCAAATCCGCGCCGCTGGCCTGCCAGTCAAGGGCATCATCCTCAAGGAGAAGGCGCTGCGTATAGCAGAGGAGCTGGGCATGGACGACTTCACCGCCTCCAATGGCTGGCTGGACCGCTTCCGCCGGCGCCACGGTGTGATGTCCTGCAGCGGTGTGCCCCGCCCCCGGGCTCGCAACTCTGCTCCTCGCCGGCCTGCGGCGCCCGCCAGTGCAACCACGGTGCCCTCAGAGGGTAGCGGCGGAGGCTCCGGCAGGCACACTTGGGAGGAGCAGCAGCCATCAGTGGTCGAGGGCTATGCCTCGCAAGACGTGTTCAGCGCTATCGAGACCAGTTTGTGGTACGACTTCCTGCCGGACCAGGCCGCCGGCCTGTGTGGCAGCGACGGCCGGGAGCGCAGGGCCACCCAGCGCCTGAGTGTCCTGCTGTGCGCCAATGCCGATGGCAGTGAGAAGCTGCCCCCGCTTGTGGCAGGCAAGTCGGCCAAGCCCCGTGCAGGCCAAGGCGGCCTGCCCTGCGACTACACTGCCAACTCTAAGGGCGGTGTCACCAGCCAGGTGCTGGCCAAGTACCTGAAGGCCTTGGATGCGCGCATGGCCACTGAGTCTCGCCGTGTCCTTCTGTTGGCTGGCCGCATGGCCGCCCAGTCCCTGGACACCTCAGGCCTGCGGCATGTGCAGCTGGCCTTCTTCCCATCAGGCACAGTGCAGCCTCTGGAGCGGGGTGTGATCCAACAGGTGAAGGGCCACTACCGCCAGGCTATGCTGCTCAAGGCCATGGCTGCACTAGAGAGCCAAGATCCTTCACGCCTACAGCTGGGCCTCATAGAAGCCCTGCACTTTGTGGCCGCAGCCTGGCAAGCGGTCCAGCCTTCAGACATAGCCACCTGCTTTCGAGAGTCTGGCTTCGGGGGTGACCCTGATGCTACCATCACTACTGCCCTCAAGAGTGAAGGGGAGGAAGAGGAAGAAGAGGAGGAGGAAGATGATGACGATGAAGAGGAGGAGGGAGGAGAAGAGGGAGAGGATGGGGAAGGAGAGGAGGAAGGAGAGGAGGAGGAGGGAGGAGAAGGGGAAGAACTGGGGGAGGAAGAGGAGGTGGAGGAGGAGGGTGAAGTTGATGACAGTGATGAAGAGGAAGATGAGGAGGAGAGCTCCTCTGAGGGCTTGGATGCCGAGGACTGGGCCCAGGGAGTAGTGGAGGCTGGAGGCAGCTTCGGAGGTTATGGTGCCCAGGAGGAGGCCCAGTGTCCTACGTTTCATTTCCTGGAAGGTGAGGAGGACTCTGAGTCAGACAGTGAGGATGAGGAGGAAGATGAGGATGATGAGGATGAAGATGAAGAAGATGAGGAGGATGGTGACGAGGTGCCTGTGCCCAGCTTTGGGGAAGCCATGGCTTACTTTGCCATGGTCAAGAGGTACCTTACCTCCTTCCCCATTGATGACAGGGTGCAGAGCCACATACTCCACTTGGAACATGATCTGGTCCATGTGACCAAGAAGAACCATGCCAGGCAGGTGGGAGTGTGGGGTTTTGGGCATCAGAGCTGAGCCATTGGGTCTGGACATGCCTCTAATCCGGATGTGGCAGCACCAAACCAGAGAGCAGCCTCTGTGGATGCAGCCAGGGTGGGGAGCCCCAGATTCTGTAGTATTGCTTCCCTAGCCCTGTGACAGGCTCCATCACCTGGGTAGGGCTGGAGCTGGGCTCAATCTCACTGCCTGCTTGTTGCCTCTTTCTCAGAATCCTCTTTCCTCTCCTTTGCCCCTGGGCCTGGGGGACCAGGTGACGTGGGCGGGGAGCTGTCTGGTGCTACCACACCATGCCATCAGTGGACTAGACCACAGCAGCAGCCAGGGATAGACCCTGGAAGCTCCCGGCCAGAGAGTGCCTGTCTCCTCTGCCATCCACACCAGGTCCTTGGTAGGGGAGGACCCCAAAGCCATTCTGGGAAGGGCTCCCAGTGGAAAGTCCAACCTGACCCTGGGCCATCTCAAGAAGCACAGTTCTAACTCGCTGCAGGTTCCTGAACCTGCCTCTGCCTGCTTTCCCACCCCTAGCTCCCAGCCCTTTTCTCTGGCTCAGTCCATGTTACTTTGGCCTTTGGTTTTCTTTCCAGTTTGGAGAGTCCCAAGAGGCCCTCTAAGGGAGTGATAATGGTACTTCCCAAGTGGGCAGCTGCAGTCCCCATGCCTCTCATCCCTCTCTGGCAGGGCCCTATCCTGGGCAGAGCGGCCTGGGGCTGGGCCCAGAGTCTGGCCTTCAGCTGCTCCTTTCCCAGTTTGAATTCAATAAATCTGTTCACCCCTCTTTTGTGGGAGTGAACATTTTAACAGCCAAGGATGCATCCTTCATGGTCTGGGCTTGCGTCTGTCTTGGGGGAACGTCCTTTCCTGGTTCCCTTTGGCCCCTGCTCAGGTGGGACGTGGAAGCAAGTGTTGAGAGAGTAGCCAAAGCCTAGGCCAGGGTGAGGGGCAGGGGAACTCTCAATATCATTTCTAAATACTACATGGGCCTTGGGGAAGGGTCTTAACTGGTTGGGCCCTGCCTGGCTCTCAGGGCTTTAGAAGTGAAAGGGTTTAAAAGGTTAGAGTGATTTTGGCTGGGAGGGTGCTAACAGTCCCTGTTGGCCAAATCAAAACAGCATGCACCTGGGTACTAGACCCACCAAAACTGACTAAAGAAGGCCCTTGCAGGAGGGGGCCAGGACAGAAAAGTGTTGGGGCAGTGTTTACTTAACTTAGTGCTTTGTTGTTATGTGCCTCGATTTCGACTCAGCGACCCTGTACAGGGTTTCCGAGGCTGTAAATCTTTAATGGGTGCAGAAAGCCTCATCTTTCTCCCGTGGAACAGCTGGTAGTTTCGAACTGCTGACCATGAGATTAGCAGCCCGATTCGTAACCACTATGCTACCAGAGCCCCTTTTTAGTGCTTTAAAGGGGGAGTTTTGTAGGTTTTTCAGTGATGGCATCTTCAAGTGTGGTAGCCACCCTTGAGGCAATGATAGGAGGAGGGTGAAAATGGCCCATGAAATTGCTGGGGACAGATTGCACTCTCTAGAGGCTGAGGATAAATTGGTAACTCCCTAGGCAGAAGGTGAAGGCAGACCTGTAATCCTAACCTACCATTCTACCACCTCCTGCTTTCTAGCCCAGCCCCTCCCTCTCAGCCTCCCTCTGAGAGGCCCTCAGTGGTTCCAGCCAGGGGAGGGCCTGAGTCTGAGCTGGGCAGGTAACTCTGGGCCCCAAACCGGTTTTCCCACCTTGACTGGGGCTGGCATGTTCCTTGTTCCCTCTGCCCTACCGTCACCCTGCAGTTCCTCCTCTCCCCACCTTGGAATGTTAAAGGGGGGGTGGAGGGATGTCCAGGTCATCTTTTGTCCCTTGCCTGCCATAGATGTGTTCCCTTTCAGAAAAGCTAGGCCACCATGCATGACTGCAAAACAAGAAGCTGGGTGACTGTCCCCACATGGAATGGCTTTCCACCCATGTGGCACTTTGACCTCCCTTCAGGCCTTCAAGGCTTCAAAACCAAATGACTGCCAAGAGCAGTTGAAATTCCCTGTGACACCAAGTGGAAACAGATCAAGAAGTTATAATACTAGCCACTGACCTGCTCTGTAGATGAGAGCTGTGGCCTTTTCTAACCCCCGTCGCTTGCCTCAAATGCCAACCAGACAAACCACTTCCATTTGTTTCCTGCCGACAAAAATGTCCTTTTTGCTGGAATTGAAATGATCACATTAATGGTCATGCCAGCTGATGTTGATAGGACCCTTGCTGTGTGAGAGGTGGTGTACTAAGCATTTTAGATGGATTTGCTCAAAAGCCTCTATAGAGCTGGAAAATCATGAAATGAAATAACAGGTAAAGAGAGGTGCAGTAATTTGCCCAAAGCCACACAATTTGGTGGAAGGAGGTTTTTCCCTCAAGGTGACCCTGGAAGTGCTGCTTTATTGCTCCTCTGTACACCTCTTCACTGATGGATGCATATTCTTAACCTTCCTAAAAACAATGCTGTTTTGAAATGGAACAGATTGATTCTAGTTGGTTCCAAAGTGAAATTCATTTATAATATACTAAGAAAAGCCCTTTAGGGGACATAAGGGTCTGGAAGTGTGTACAGAACCCTGCCAGTCCTCATACAAATACAGGTCTTTTGTGAACTACAAATACTTCTAGTCTGTACAGGTCTTTATTACTCCACTGGGACAAATAAATGAGAACCAGCCTCATTTCACAAAAGAACAAGGTTTAAGGAGTTGAGTGACCTGCCTCAGGCACTACCTTAAAGCTCTGGTGTTCTTTCTGGAAGTCTGATTGACGTATTAAATGTCTCACCAGTCTTAAGAGCATGGAGCTTTGGGGAGGAACCCAACAAGAAAGCATTATTACATAGCTTATCGCACAGTCCAGATGGGTAACAGATTGTTAACAGTGGACCCCGAAAGAAAGCTGATAAACATGGTGATGTGAAGCGGCATTCTCTTGCTAAAGGGCCCATAAGGGGCATCCCAGTCCTGGAGATTCTAACGCAGGGATTCTTGGGGCCTTGTCGCTAAGCATTGATAGGTCGCAGAGTAGGGCAATGGCTGATAAGCACAAATGGCTTGGCCGCAGACGTGAAGTCTTCTTGGGGTAGACGGGAAAGTAAGGCCCCCTTACAGCTATTTTAAAGGTGGAGTCTGGGAGGAAGTAGCGGGAAGGAAAACTGCAACTCCCAGAAGCCACTGCTCCCTGGCGAGTCGAGTGGTTGCTATGGTTTCACAAAACAATATGGCCGCTCTCAGATGGGCGAGTGAGGACGCCGACAGCAGCTGAAGAAGCAGCTTCTGAAGGGTCGTGAGGCTGAGATTGGCTACTGCACAACTGGAACAGCTTGACTTTGCCGGGGCGCCAATGGACGAGGAAACACTGCACCAGCTATACTTGTGGGTAGACAACATTCCTCTTTCCCGGCCCAAGCGAAACCTTTCCCGAGACTTCAGTGATGGAGGTCTGCACCTGTGTGTATCCATGTGCGTCTACATGTTGTGTCTTTTGTGTACATGTGTAAAAGACTTATGTGCATACGTGTCTTTTTGTGCTTGGAGAGGGGTATAGAAGTCTGACTGCCTCCTGGTACTTTAGTAATAGAAGGTGTATGTATGTGTTTTCTATACATCTGTGGGAATTTGGATACGTGTATTTGGACATGTTCTATCCTGTATGTATGTGCGCATATGTGTACATATGCATCTCTATGTGTGTGCATCTGACTCCTTCCTGAGACTTTAATGACAGGGATGTGTCCTTGTATGTCTTTGTGTATCTCTGTGTGTGTGTGCGCACACATAGCTGTGAATTGTAGTTTGTCTTATGGGAGACTAAGCACCTGTGTGGCCTTGCATTCTGCCATATATATATATATATATATATATGTGTGTGTATGTGTAATAGATGAGTGTGTGCATATGGATTTCTCTGCAATTGTGTGATTGTGTGTCTGTGTCTGTATGTCTGGTACATTCTTTTTATATTTCAATGAAATGTGTGTCTCAGTGTGTGTATATTTAGGAAGGTTATGTGCAGATGAGGAACTCTGGTGGCACAGTGGTATAGCACTCAGCTGCTAACTGAAAGGTTTGAACCCACCAGCCCCTCAATGGGAGAAGGACTTGGCAGTCCACTCAATAAAGATTTACAGCTTTGGAAACCCTATGGCATGGTTCTACTCTGTCCTACAGGGTTGCTATGAGTTGTAATAGACTTGCTGACATCAGGTTTATGTGCCTATGTTACTGTGTGTTTGTGTATGTCTGTGTCTGGGCATATATTATGTTCTGTGTCTACACATCTATACTATTTGTGTATCTGTAGGAAGGTTTCCTTATATGTGTCTCTGCTTGTGTGAGTGTCACCTGGGACTTTGGTGTTGGAGTGTGTATGTGTGTTAATAGGGAAAGCATACAGCTTCTTTGGAGTATGCTGGAAACTCTTGTCTTCGCTCCCTGATCACTTCTTTTTTGTTCCCTTTCCCTCTTTTCCCTCACACCTCTCTCCCTACCACCCTATCCCTTTCCACATCTCTACCTTTCCACCACCCTTTAATTTTCTACTCCATCCTTTTCTTCTCCCACTTCCCTTTCTTCTATGCACCCCCCATCCTCCTTATCTGCCCCATCTCCACTCCTTCAGTCCTCGTTGCTGAGGTCATCAAGTTTTACTTTCCCAAGATGGTGGAGATGCACAACTATGTGCCGGCCAACTCTCTCCAGCAGAAGCTCAGCAACTGGAGTCACCTGAATAGGTAGTAAAATACCTGCTCCAGCCCCTACTGCCCTCCCCTGGAAGGGCTGCTAAGGCAGCCCTGTCTCTTATGACCTGGTGGTGGTGGTGGGTGATGATAGCAGAGAGGGCGGGCCAACGTGGTTACCAGATCCAGTCTAGTAACAAACTCAAGGGACCCATACTCTGGGGAGGCAACAAGCAATCTCAGGACACCTGAGCAAGACGACTCAGCTGTATTGTCCCTTGACTCCCTCAGGGCTGCTCACTTAGAGCTCAGATTGCTTTCCTCTCCATTCCCTCCTGTCATTGCCTTAGGACCTAGTCCATCATCCCCCATATCTGCCCCTCAGGAAGGTGCTGAATAAACTGAACTTCTCGGTACCAGAAGACATAATGCGAAAGATTGCTCAATGCGCCCCAGGTGTGGTGGAGTTAGTGCTCATCCCACTGCGGCAGCGCTTGGAGGAGCGGCAGAAGCGCAGGAAGCAGGGCTTGGGCTCCTTACAGGTACCACCCTTGTCTTCACATCTCCATTCACTCTGGGGAGCTTTGCAGATTGTGGAAAGCCCACCCTTGGTGAAAAAGAGAATCTGGCCTGGGCAGATGCAGAAGGGGCAAGGGGCTCTTTGAGGATGGGTGAGCCGTGGATCACAGTGGACCTGGGGTTCTTTCAGGAGCTGGCTCCCCAGGATGGCAGTAGCTACATGGATGTGGGTAGGCAACCTTGCTTTCCTCCGGTGCTTCTTTCTTATCACTGATGAAAAAAGGTATGAGGGAAAGGCAGTACGGTCACTCCTTCACGTGCTTTATCTCAGGTTTGTCCCAGAAGGTCGGAGGAGAAGGTGTCCCAGAACCACAGGGAGGAGAACTGCTTAAGTAAGGGCTACTGTGGCTGGAAGTTCCTGACCTCACCAGCCCTGGTTGTCTGGTAGGGGATGGACAAGAAGGGGTTATGCTGAGTCTGGGAGGGAAAGGAAGGCAGGAAAGTGGAGAGGAGCAGCATCCGAGCATACTGGAAAGGTGACGGTGGGTCCTGAGGTCCAGGCCTCTGTTAAGCTGCTTTCTACTTGACCCCTCCCCCAGGGGAGCCCGACTGCCCGCACCCCGCCCTCTGGGGTATAGCCAGGCTGTACAAGGTGACCCAAGCTTCATCCTTCAGATCGCTGAAAAGGAGCAGGAGCTGTTGGCCTCACAGGAGACAGTGCAGGTGAGGGCGGATTAGGAGGGTATGGGGGCTTGGGGCCCACAGAGCTTGGGGCAGGCTTGACCTCTGCATGCCCTGCCCAGGTCTTGCAGATGAAGGTGAGGCGCCTGGAGCATCTGCTGCAGCTCAAGAATGTACGCATCGAGGACCTCTCCAGGCGGCTGCAGCAGGCACAGCGGAAGCAGCGCTGAGCTGTGGCTCAGGCTGCGTAGTGAAGCCGGTCCCGCTAGAGCACAACCACCCAGACCCACCCACTTACCAACAGACTGAGGACTAGGCAGGCAGAACCAGTCATTTTCTCATGAACGTACTGAGCCCATAAGCCCCCTTCCTTGGGGGTGGGGTAAGGGTGGGGAGAGGCCAGAGAGGAGCCCTAAGAGCCAGGCATCCAGACTGAGCCACCACCTTCCACTCTGTCTGGATCAGGGGAATGGACTTCTTTCCAGAACCCAGGAGCTGCACAGAGACTCAGCATGCCACCCAAAGTAGTGCTCAATGACTTTGGGGACCCGCTTTGGCATACCCGGTAGGGTGCTGGGCCTTGGGAGGCAACACTCCTGTTTGCTCCTCACCCTCAGAATTGGGTTCCTGTCCAGATGCGAGGACAGCAGAGTGTCCATCCAGTCTGGTTCTCAGCGCTCTTGGCCACAGGGAAAGCTGTCAGGGCAACTGAGGATCTCCTTTGCCCCTCCTGGGCTCTCACCTGGGACCCAGCTTACACCTGGAGACTACAGCAGCTAGAGAGGAAGGGGTGAGGAGTGGGCTCAACCAGGAAGGCCAATCACCCTTCCTGCCCACTGGGATACCTTTAGGAATGTCTGGGGATGTTGCCTTTATTAAAGATGGTGTACTTTTCTTTCCTATGCCTGGCTTCTCTCTTGGCTTTGATCCCTGAGAGCAGCACATTCCTGTTCCTCTTTTGCTGGTCCCCCTCCAGAGGTAGGGGTGTGTGTGGAAGAGCATTATGAGTAACCCCAGAGAGGATCTCAGTTACGGGGTGACTGAGCCCTGTGTTACCACTACCTATTGGTTGAGACACTCTGGTAGTCTAACCTCTAAACCTGGCCTAGACTGGTCCCTAAACCCACCATCACAGTGACCTCTAACCTTATACAAACCCAGCCCAAAACACAGGGTTCACACTCACCTTCCATCTTGCCCAAAGACTGACCCCTAACTTGTCCTGTGTGTGATTTTCAACCCTGTCCACAGACTGATCCCAAGTTCTATGGACTTAGGCCAATCTTAACTTCCAACCTGACCAAGATAGCATGGTGATGTGTGACCTTAACTCTGATTGTTTATTAACCAGTTGTGTTGTACATTTATAAATCCTGAGACCCAGCAGTTTCACTTCTAGGCACATGCCCAGGGGAAATTTAAGCTCTTGCGTCTGGGAGACAGGATTGTTCATAGCAACAAGTATTTGTAAAAGCAAAAAAGGTAAGAGTCTGTGAGCTCAATGGAAATTACTGTCTTATGTACTGCAATCATGGAAGTGACATCATATCACTTTACAGTATTCTGTTGATTAGAAGCAAGTCACTAGGTCCAGCCTACACTTAAGGTGAGATAACTACACATGAAGAAAGGATAAAGTTTATCATTGTGGTTACCTCTGGGAGGAAGCAGGGGGCAGAGATGCAAGAAGCACATATAAGCGTTCATAAGTGAGTCATTCATAGACAAATGAAATGAAAGTATTATTAACTAAGGATTATGTTTAGTCCACTTCTGTACCTCCAAGGTCCTAAAATAATAATAAAAATTGATGACTAATCTTGACCTTGGTCTGGTCCCTATTCCTGCTCTCAGCAAGGTCTTAGTCTGAACTTCCAACTACCCCAAACTAACCACTACCCAAGGCAACTCTGACACTATTACCTCTCCAGAGTCTTCAACAGGTCTCCAGAGTCCCATTCTCTAAAGCTTTCATCTATGCAACCACCCCAGTGGGTCCCAGGAGGGTGGAATAGTCCATGGTTCTGCCTGAAAGGAGCACAGTGGGCTCAGAATGCAGGTCCACTGCCTTCAGAGGCTGCTGACCTTCTCCACTACAACAGCTGGGCCAGATCCTGGAAGTTACTCTTCTTTGAGCAACCCCATTTCTGGGAATCCAGACATGACTGAATCATTCTCAACTTGTATTCTATAAAAAACCTGCCAAATAAAATGCCAAAAACAATGGAGAATTTTACTGAACATTTCTTGGAGATACAAAGGTGGGTTACATCATACATTATAACTCTGATCCCTCTTTAAGCATCTCTCTTGATCCCCAAACTTATCTCTGACAGCTGCTGACATAGTTCTCTCCTCCTGCTCCCTACTCTTCTCTCCCCTTTCTAATCCACACTAAATTTGATTATCTCTGATTCGTTCATTAATTCCTCAAATGTTTACTGAGCACATACTATATGCCAGACACTGAACTAAATGCCAAGAACACAAAGATGAGTATAAAACATGATTTCTATGCCCCCTAGTTTACAATTCTACCAGGGGAGACAGTCCTATAAAAAGGTACTTAAGCATTTGTGCTACTGAATGTTTTCAACTGATAAAACATATACATGATTTAAAAATAAAAAATAAGTGAAAATTTCCTTGCCTCTACCACACCTCTAATAGGTCACTTTCATTTTTAACATTTGGTCTCCTTCCAGAGTGTCTTTATATGAATAAAGGCAAATATATACATTTATAGCAATAATAACATATATCTTGGATATGTTAACCTGATATGCAGTTACAACCTTGCTTGCTGAAAGTGAAGAAGATGTAAAATACTGATAAATATCAAAGTCCACAGCCTTCAGTATGATTGCACCTTAATGTAAAGTCCTGGTATGGCATTGTGGGATGAGCAATTGGACTGCTAACCACAAGACTGGAGGTTCAAATCCACAAGGTACTCCTTGTAAACCCTATACAGGATCACTATGAGTCAGAACTGATTCAATGGCACTTAACAACAGCAACAACAAATGAAGAAAAGACTGAAGTTGTCAAATACTTCATTTTCTTAGATTCACAATCAACATTCTTGGAAATATCAGTCAAGAATCAAGTGACATACTGCATTAGACAAATCTGCAAAAGACTTTAAAATGTTCAAGTCTAAAGATATCAGTTTGAGGACTAAGGTGAATCCAACCCAAGCCATGGTTGGTTGTTTTTGTTTGTTTGTTTTTAACTTGTGAATTGACTAAAGGTTTACAGACAGGAGCATTACCTTTATATTCAACAAATCACATACTTTGTTTCATTTCAATTAATAAAATCCCCTTCCTGCAGTAACAGTCATCCTTCTTCCTCCCTGTGGCTTCCCATAGACAACTTATGTTTCACAAATGAACAAGCAAAAATATTTGATATATACTTACAAAACAACAAATATATATTCATTTAAATGTCCAAAGGACACATTCTGCAAGCCAGACTCCTGCCCGAAGGCACACAGCCTTACTGAGTCCATGGACCTAGAGACTGCAGATGCTCTGTCTCTCTATGCCATCGCCTCTGCCACCATCTCTGCTGTCACTTATTTTCTAGGTAGGGATCTCACACTCCACTTACGCTTTTCCTTCTTGATGGTCCTGGGATTATCTGTTCCTGAAATGAAAGATTAACTACTCCCCACTTTTAGTTACACATCTTCTACAATTATAGTTGTGACAATCACAATTAATCCTGCTAACAGTTACTCACAAATGAATCATAAAATCCTATCATCATCGTCCCCAATCCCTTTTCACCAGATCCATTGGGAAAAGAGGACAAATTTTCAATGGGTTGTCTAATTTACCCTCCTCATTCTGAAATTAAGCACACTCATGAAAGATTGTAAGCCAGCCACTCCATGCCTTTGTTGCTGTTGTTGAGTGCCATCGAGTCAGTTTCTACCCATAGTGACCCTGTATAGGGTTTCTGAGGAGCAGCTGGTAAGCTTGAACCACTGATCATGCAATTCAATAATAACTGTAGTGAATAATCTAATGTCTCTTCTAGCCATAGTCTATAACTTGCACAAAACATTTCTGCCCTGCTAGGTCTGGGTAAGAGAAGATGTTCTCTGTATTCACTGTATGGTCATTACAGTGAATCATGGAATGCTGTTGAGTAGAAAGGGCTATAGGAGAAATGATTGGTGCTACATCACTGGCAAAAATAATGCAACAATGAACAACCTCATGTATTCATGACTTGGTATTATATGCAAGGATTTCTCTATGGTACATTCCAGAACTGGGATTGCTAGACCAAAAGATATATGCATGAATCATTTAAAAAACAATAATATTGTTTTTTTCAGTGAAAGTTTATACAGTAAACTAGGTTCCCATTTGATAATTTCTATGAAAATTGATCAGTAACATCAGTTATATCTTTCACAATGTGTCAACATTCTCTAATTGTATTCTGGTGGCTCTGTTTCTAATGCTCTAGTTTTGCTGCCCCTTTATTTTCTCATTTTTGCTTTAGAGTGCTTGTTGGCCTTTTGGTCTCATATAGATGTTTTTTTAACTGAAGCATCATATTCCTGTGCCAGTTTATTATTTTGCTAAAAGTTGACCTTAGAGAATAGATTTGGTTCCAAGTTTAAAAAGTATCTCAAGGATATAGCTTCAGGAAGTACTTACTCTAGTCTCAACTGGCTCAATAAGTCTGGACTTTTTAAGAATTTGAGCTCCGGTCCGCATTTTTCTATGATTCTATTAGAGTCCATCTATGGTAGTATCTAGGTACCATCAGTTTTTCTGGTCTCAGGGTAGAGGACGTGGCTCATGTAGAAATTACTGAGTCATAGGATTGGAATTGATCAGCTTTCTTAGAACTGCCAAGCAGTTTTTCAAAGTAGGCATTTTTTTTTTTAATTAAAAAAATGTGATCAAGGGGGCAATACAAAAGAATGGGGAGGGGACAGGAGCTCCACCAGCAACAACACAGAATACCCAACCAAGCAGGCTCAGGGGATGGTCCCAGAACTCTGAACCACACATAAAGGAATATTTATAAGGTTGGAAGGCTTACAGCTGGGGGAATTTGTGGCAGAAGCAAGAAATCCATTGCTCTCTAGTTCGAAAAGCTCAGCTGCTCCAGGAGCCACCATCTTGAGTGAGACCAAGCAGGGGAAGGATCGGAGCGGACACAGACGCCTGACAGAACCACACAGATAAAGGTGTGGACA